GGGGGAGATGTCCAGGGAAACTGCGCGTGCAGATCTGGGGTTCCAGGGAGCAGCCGGGCAGGAGACGGACGCTTGGCGCGGGGTGGCACGTGCGCTCACCCAGCACGGTGAGCAGCGGGGACAGAAGGCCCAGCTGGAGCACCGGGCTCGCCAAGGCTTTGAGGCCAGGCCGAGGAGGTCCCCAGGGCAAGTCTCGGCCCCTCACAGCTGAGGGAGAGAGTGGAAATGTGAATGCCGGGCTCAGTGTCCTCAGCATCTGGCTGCTTCCAGCCCAGAGTCAGGAGCAAGTCCTCTCAGACCGGTAACCCCATCTTAGGAGCGCCCGGAGGGCTGGGACTCTCTGGTGGCTGTGCCCCAGGGCCCAGCACGGTGGCTAGAGCTTGAGGCCATTCAGTGATGTTCAGCGAATGAATAAGCAGGCACGTGAGACTAAAAAGAATTGGGAAAGGCGTGTTAGGGGCGCCATGCTTGCTCAGGGCCTAGGAACCCTCTGGGGATTTGGGAGCAGGGAGGTCGGCCACGCTACCCCCTCCAGGGGGTCTCCTTCCCCACTGAGCGCCCCCATGCCCACCGCTCCTGCCATCACGGCTCTTGCTCCTATCACTCACCGCGATGGCACATGCCCTCCAGATCCTGACTCTGTCCTCTGCGGGGCTCCCTCTGCTTCCTGGCCGGGCTCTGGCTCCTCTGAGAACAGCGAGAGGGTGATGCCCGTGGCGTTGATGGTGGCAACGTCTGCGGGGCAGGGAAAGCCCTGAAGTCCTCCTGCAACAACCACAGCGTCCCCGCTGGGTGAGACCGGCCCACGCCCACGGTCACAGTGGGGGAAAGGGACAAGCCCAACAACAAACAGGGCCGAGGACCCCTCTGGGAGAGTCCTAGGCCCGGAAACTATTTGAGGACAGGAACTGGGTCTTGTGGACTGCTGTAACCCTGTCACCCAACACAGCACCTGGTACCTACAGATGATTAATGAGCGTTTGTTAAATGAAGAGGTTGACTGGGATAAGTCATGTCCCTTCTCTATCAAGGGACATAGCGGGGAGCGGGGAAAAAAACACAGTCTTGTCAGTTGTGATCTCTAACAGCTTTAACAGTAGCCATCGTTTTTGGAGCATCTATTACGTGCTGGGCACTGAGTGGAACCCTCCACGGAGATGGCGTCACGCGGTCCTGTGAGACAGGCCCCATTACTGTCCTCACTTTACACGGGGGGCAGGAGCACAGAGGGACCAAGTGACTCACCCAGAGCTCTCGGCTCCAGGCCTGTGGGATGCGAAGGCTGCGGCTGCCAGAGAGGGGCCGGCTGTGAGAGCAGAAGCCCTGCAGGAAGTGGTTAGGGGCCAGCCAGCAGTCGGCCTAGAGTCCCGGGGACAGAAACCCACAGCTCAGCAGTGGGGGGGAGGGACCCCAGGGTGAGGCCTGTTCCCTCAAGGTCTGTGTGAGCAGGGGAGCGAGAGGGGCAGAGTCTGTCTCTGTGTGTGGAGGAGGGGGTGGCGGGCACACCCAGGGGTGGGAGGACTTGGCATCCACATCCTCGATAAGGTCACTGCAGTCTGTCATCTCTCTGCCCTCTCCTCCGCCACTGCTTCCAAGCCCTGGATCACCCCCGAGCCATCGCAGCTCCGAGAATATCAGAGCCACGAGCACATAACGGCGCGAATGCGTGCGGTGAGCCTGTTACTCTGCACAAAGCGAGCGGCAGAGTTGGTCACCTGGGATCACAACATCGGGATCAGACTCTGAGCCTGGCAACACCCGGGGTTTGCCCACAAGCTGAGGACCGAGGGCCCCTTCCCAGGGCAAAGAGGCCCACACCCTTCAGCAGCTTTGCCTGCTGAAACCCACTGGCCTGCCCAGCAGGGCTGGGGGTCAGGGAGGCTCAGGTACCAGAGAGCAGCCCAGGCACACCGTGCATGAACTCTGTCGTCCTCCGGTCACAGTGTCCTCCAGACAGCACGTCTGCCTAGCCACAGAAAGCCTCGAGGGCAGGACTCCCACTGAAGTAACTCACGTACTTCCCCCACGGTGCCCAGTGCAGTGCCTGGGTGAACGAGCGAATGGAATGAAGTGAGGACGGACAAGGGGAAGGGCCTCGGCCACGTGACTGTTGGGCATTTACTGCTCTAAGCAAATAATAAATCTCAGCGCTTCTGCCTCTTCCTGCGCTGTCGGGAATAAATTCCTGAAAGCCCAGGCCTCCAGCAGCCACGGAGCTTGGGGCTTCCAGACACACCTCGGGGTTCCCAGCAGTAAGAGGGTGTCACCACGGCCTTCCCCATGGTTCTGCCTCCCCCAGGAGGAAGTGGCTAATCTGCCTCCGGGCTGACATCGAATCCTGCGTCCAGCCCACAGACTCCAGCAGCTCCCCCACACCTGTCACTGCTTGCAGGGGGTCCGCGGGGCTGCCGGGAGTCGTGTGTGGCTGTGCCTGGTGTGTCACAGACCCTACCTGGGCCTCTGCTCTAGGACTGCTGGAGGCCTGGGCTGGGCACGAACCGACGGCAGTCCCTTACCATCTCTGCCGTGCTCCAGGGGCAGCTCCGGCTCCTGGCTGCAGGGGCCCCTCTCCACGCTGCCCTTGTGGACAGCTCCTCCGCAGCGCCCCTGCAGCCCCCGAGACCTGCTGTTGTTGCAGTTGTTGGTGGACAGGCCCAGCAGTGGGTGCCTGACGTGGGGGCTGCAGGACTGGGTCTGTGGTGGGGTAAGCTCGCAGGTCCTGAGAGCCACACTTCTTGAAGGAGCCACAGGCTCTCCCTGGTCACCCAGCCTGCGGGGTCCAACCAGGGCTACCTTCCTGTGAGACCCGGGGGAAGTGGTTGTCCTTGGAGGGGGAGGGGTTGGCACCCAGCCTTCAGGGGAGAGGGAAGCTGGTGGCTGCTGGGCTTGGTGGGGGGCAGAGGGCTCTGCATTGCTCTGTTGCAGGGAGGAAGTGGAGATAATTTCCAGAGACTCGTGACTTTCTACAGCCTGGGCTTGACGGCCCGGCCCCGAGGGCCCAAGCTTCATGGAAGAGGTCGTGGCACAGGCTGTCCTGCATGGAGCCCGGGACTCCACAGGGTGAGCCCAGTGACTTCCCAGCCCTGGACCAGGCTGCCACTGGGACGCCAGGGATGCGGGCTCAGAGTCCGGGGCAGGAGGCATAGGGACAGCATCTTCTCCCAGAAACAGAGTCCCCTCAGGTGTGTGTCCTCTGCTTTCTTTCACCTCATCTCCCAGCTCCATGTCATCAACCCCAGGCAGGTGACGCTGGTCCCGAAGGCCCCAGGGCAGTTCCATTTCAGCCTTCCTGGACCACCTGTGGCCTCCTCGGGGCCCAGAGCCGCGCAGTCGAGGGCTGCTGCCCGGGGTCTGCCCACATGCGGGGCTGGCGGGAGAGGTCCTGCAGCTGTCCGGGGTGTCGGTGCTGCCCAGGGCAGAGTCCACACCCTCGGGACACACGGTATCTCCAATGTGTGTTTCCCGGATCCACTCAGGGAGGAGCCGGAGAGGGGAGCACAGGCCACGGGAGCCTAGTGGCTCCGCCAGCACGCCCTCCATCCCACAGGCAGCCTGGAGCTCCCGGAGCACCCTGGGGTCGGGGGGTGCCTTCCCCTGCGCAGGGCGGCGGTTTTCCGTACAGCTTCCGCAGGCTCGGCACGTCCTCTCGCTGCCCCTGCGGTCCAGGCTGCCCACGAGCCCGTGCAATGCCGCCTTCCCCGCGTCCCGCAGCCGAGGGCCCCCGTTGATGTAGTCGGCCAGGTCCGGCTTGGAGCGCAGGGGCCCCTGGTCCGCGGCCTGCAGCGCCGAGCCCAGCACCTGGCGCTGGCGCTGCTGCAGCCGCTCCAGGTAGCGCACCTCGGCCTCGCCCGCAGACTCATCCTCGAAGCGGACGTGCGACGGCGACGGGCCTCGCTTCGGCCTCTGCCCGCCGCCGGCCTCGCCACCGGAGGAGTCGCTCACGTTGCCGTTCTGGAGGCCGTCTCTGCAGGCGCAGGGCTCCCTGGGGTCCGGGGCTGGGCTTCTCTGGCCATCTCTGGCAAAGAGACAGGAGGAGAGATCACAGGCAGAGAGACGGGAGGAAGGTGCCGCCCTGCCTCTGCCCCCCTGGGGTGCGGCCTCCCATGCTGCCCTGTGGGAACCGCAACCCACAAGTTACCCCAAATCAGGTTCCCGGGGAGTCAGGCGGCAAAGCAGAGTAACATAAGCCCGTTCCCATCCCGGGCCTGAGCGCTCCACAACATCTGCACGGCCTCCTTAGCTTTTGGCTTTCCCCCTGAGGCCGGGCCCAGCCCGAGCTGGGATGAAACATTAAACCTCAGACTGTACGGAAGGAAGAAGCCAAAGCCCTCCTGTGCGGGGCGCGGGGCTGTGCGTCTTGGAGGAGAGGAGGTGACCCCAACCGCTGGCAGGTCCGGCGGTGAGGAACGTGGAGATTCCTAGTTGCCATCAGTCTGAAGCTCTTATGGGAAGGGGGTACTTTAAGTCCCCACAGAGCCTGTGGGAACTGAACTCGGGGTGTCCAAGCACGCTTGCTCCCAGTTTCCCCTCGAGGCTCTTAACCGCCCTGCTTAGACGAAACGCGGACGATGCAGCGCTGGCGTTTCTCGCCGGACCCCGGGTCCTGACTGTCACAAGAGCCCCTCCTTGTAGCTGCTCATCTCCAGCCTTCACACACGCCCACCTGCGTGCAGCGGCCACGCCACTGCGGGGCTGGGGACAGCCTTCACGGCTGTCACTGACTTTGGCTCTGGGAGACCCTGCGCTTGGTGCTGAAGTCCTGCTCGGCTCCAGAAAACACCCACACAGATCGCACACCAGGGCCCCTGGGAGCCAGGTGGCCTGAGTTTCAGGCCACTGTGCAAAGGGGCCAGGCCCATAGGCCATTTCCTAACAGAGGCCACCCAGGTAAGGACCATGCTTCCCCCTTCCTGCTCCCTGCAGCGGCCTCCCCACCAATCCACTGCTAAGTGTTTGGGATTCACGTCGTTTCTTGTTTCTCTCGTGATGGCTTCTGTGTCACTCATGCTGGACCCCTGCAGTGGCCTCTTATCCAGCCTCTCCACCTGCCTCCTGTCTGTGGGTCCTCCTGGAGCACAGCTTCCATGACACCACCCCCACGAGGGCACAGGATCAAGTTCACAGTCTTTGGAGTGAAGACACAGGCCCTCCCTGCATTCCTCCCTGCTTTCCTCCCCAGCTGCCCACCCGCTCAGCCCCGTCAGAGCCTCCAGGCTCTGCCCCCACCTCTGCAGTCCTCCTGCCTCCTTCCTGGAATCTTTCTTCTTAGCCTGCCTGCACTTGACTCCTAGTTATTAAATCTTACCTGTTGTAGAGACACCATGTGTGATGGTTAATTTTATGTGTCAGCTTGGCTGGGTGATGATGCCCACGTACTCGAACATTAGGGATGTTTCTGGTAAGGTGTCTCTTGGACAAGATTAAGATTGGAATTGGTGGACTTTGAATGAAGCAAATTAGCCTCCACAATGTAGGTGGGCCTCATCCAATCAGTTGAAGGCCTTAATAGGACAAAGACTGACCTCCCCTGAGCAAGAAGGAATTGTGCCATCGGACTGCCTCTGGACCCAAACTGCAACTCTTCCCTGGGCCTCCCCTGCTGGCCTCCCCTGCAGATTTTTAATTAACCAAGCCCACACGATCATGTGAGCCAATTCCTTAAAATAAACCTCTCTGTGTACACACAGCCTCTTGCTGCTGTTTCTCTGTGCCTCACTAACACACCATGATCACGTCTCCGTCCTCTGAACACCTGTATGACTCATTTGTGATCACGCTCGCAGAAGATGTTAGGGCTGGGAGGGACCTCTGAGACCACATGGCCCTTCTCATTCCTACAAAGGAGAGGCCACACAAGACCAGCACCTGAGCAGCTGGGAAAGGCAAGGTGTGGGATGTTTTCTCCCGGAGAAGGGGCCCTAAAAATAGAACTAGACACTGACTATAGCTGACGGTCTATAGCTATCTGGAGACAGGGGCCTGGATTTTGGAGACCCTCTACTTTCTTTCGCTCACCCAGAAGTGTGCATATGTGACAGTTACCGTCACTGGCATGCTTTGTATGTTACGTCACTGTGTTTAGGCCTTCTCTGCCTGTGTCCTCTCATCCCCCTCCTTCACCTCCTCAACCAGAGAATTAAATTCTGCTCCGGTGGCATAGTGTACATGTCACAGTTTGCTAAACCTTGCCCAGACACTCTAGCAGCTCATAAAGAAATGTATGTGAGCAATTTGTGGATTTACTAATCCCTCCTCTAATTGGATGCCTCAGGGATTCTGGAAGTAGGATGGGAATGCTCTTCCAGTCTGCCTCAACGTGAGTTCCTTCCTTACCTACCTCTGTTACTACCCAGCAGAAAGAAAAATATGCTAGCAATTAAAAGGAAAAGAGTTCGAATAACAGGAGGAAGAAATCATCCATGCTTAACAATGACTGTGAAAACATGCCAACCAGCGGGGAGTACAGCCATTGATGGGTTGGCTTCTAGAATTATCCACGGCATTTACTGGACTGGACAATGTGCCCTTCCAGGCTGTTCTGTGTAGGTAAGTGGTCTTGCCTGTCAGGGCACAGGTGAACATGACCCATGTGCTGGTGGTGTCACTGACCATTCCTAACCATCCCCCATGCCCCCACAGCGAAGCCATCAACTAGCCTTGTAGCTCTAACGGGTTGGAACGGTCTGAGTTGCTGATGAAGCAGAGCGTGACGGACAGAGGCCACCCTCCGGGATCAGGTGGTGGACTTAAGAGGAAAGAGCTCAATCGTCCGTGACTGACTCCATGCAAAGCTCCACGGGAAGCAGCTCTGTCTGAGAGCTGAAGGCACTCCGCTCCCCCGTGCCATGTCAGACAGACCACAGCTTCAAGCCTGGACCCCAGGCCTCTGATCTGGAAGCGGGGAGGGGCCGGCGCTCCCCCAACCATGCTGTGAGCTGGCAGAAGAAAGCGGCAGCCAAGGCTCTGCCAGGTGCTACTGCATCAGATCCAAGCCCCTGGGTCGCGCCAAGGAGGACTGAGGCTTCCCACATCACGCAGCGTAAAAGCGCAAGCACCAGGGCCTCTCCCGGAGCCTGAGGCTGGACAAGCACGACGCGTCCAGCCGCCCTGGAGCGCCGCGGGCCGCGGGAGGCAGGCACCTCCCCACCTGCCGCTGCTCCTCCCTCCAGACGTTTCCCCCATTAGCAGTGGGTGCTCCAGCAGAAGCCGTTTGAAAAAAGAACTATTGCTGAGCAGGTGGATTGGCCCGCTTTGAGATTTGAGCGGATCCTCCGCTTTTTTAAGAGCGCGGCTTTGAGGGATATTGCAGAGGCGTCGGCCATCCTTTTCTCGGGCGCTCACGTTCAGACAGGGCTGACTCACGCATCAGGCACGACAGCCACGTGCCCAGGGCCCACAGTACCGGCAGGGGCCCACGAAAATGTTTTAATTTCCTTGAAAATCGGAAGAAAATAAACTTTTCGGTCAATGAAAACAACTACATATATAATAATACATTCATCTTTCAACAGCATGGTCATAAAATATAATTTTTAACTTTTTTACGGAGGAAAATGCCCATCAAGGCAAGAGCGCCAGGGCCCTCAAAGTCCCAGCGCAGCCCTGCGTGCGTAGCTGAGAGAGGTGGAGCTCCTGGCCAGGGCCACCAGCTGGTGGGGACAGTGTGGGATCCCACTACTTCGCTCAGCGTGGCGGTGGGGAGGTCCCTCGGGGAACCGTGGTTTTTCTGTTGGTGACGGGGGTCACTGCGGTGGGAAGCCCAAGAGCTCACATGAGGACTCTGGGCCACCCCCCACTTGTACCTCAGGCAGCTGTGGGGTTGCCGGCTCTGTGGGGGTCGTGGTCAGCTCCCCAGCGGCCACCCTCGCCCTTCCAGCAGCCCAGGAAACGAAGGCTCTGGCCAAGAGACAGCATCACCTCACCCCCCAGAAACAAGAGGCGCCCCACAGAGCAGAAGCCCTACCCGCACTCCACAGACAGGACGCCCTGACACGGCCACGGCCTGCTGGGAGATTCTGCACCCGGCTTAGACACAACCACCCCGACACGGGCCCCCGAGGCCGATGCCCTGCGCTGCTGGCAGGATGCGGGCTGCAATTTCTGGGGAGGAAAAACAAAGCCCAGCTTCAAAAGCAGTACGGTCCCCACGAGCCACAGGGCCTTCACTTTTACATACAGGATGGTGAATTGAGCCATCCAGGAATGCACTGCAACGTTTTTATTCTAAAGACAGAAATTAAGGCGAGCTTAATCACGTAAGGTGTCTTCAATTCAATTATTCAAACCCAGAAGCTCCCACCAGCAGTGCTCCTAACAGCGCGTAAAAGCAGGATGCGGGTTTTGGAGATGGGTGCGGAGCAAACAGGGCAGCAAAGCAGCCGCAGACCCACGCCTGCCGGGCTGCCGGGGACAGCGCCCAGCGCGGGGGGCACAGCCCGCCCTCGTGGAGCGCTCTGGCCTGAGCTCAGAGCCTCTGCTGCAGTCCTGGAATGGCACAGCTTCACGAGGAGCCCCCGGCGAGGGTCCCACTTTCCAGCACAATGCTGTCCTGACCGCACAGTCAACGCGATGGACACAAGCCCTGCAGAGTCTCGACACAGCCACCGTCCGACACAGGGCAGCACCACTGACGGTGTCACCCTGTCAAGCCCTGCGTCTTACTGACATGTCCTGCCCTCCTGCGATTAGGAGCACCAATCTGGGTACGCCTACCCCGAAAAGGGCAAGAGTTTGTGCTTCCAGGAGCTGCTCAACTTCTAGGTCGATTCGCTTCCAGAAAATTCAGCCACAGCTACCTCTTCACCCCCTGAAAAAGCCCTGTGTGTTCAGGCTCGCCCCAGATCCTCCAGCCAGATGGAGGATAAAGAAGGCCTTCTGGAGACTGCCCAGCCTGCCCCTACTGTTCCATCACCTTTCACCAAGCTGCTCTTTGGAAGCAGTGAGGCATCTGGGCTGGGGACACGGGCTTCCTGCATCTAACTCGGGCCCAGGGCCCTTGTGGCATTGCCGTGTTAACTCAGCGTGGCCTCCAGGGTGATCTGACGGAGCATAACCTTTAGAAGCATCTGCAGCAAGCCATCTGGCGTTGATTTTTCAGCTATACCCTCTGAGAATTCACCAGTGCTGCCAAGTCATAGTAATTCTTTTCTGGACACAGCAGCTGCTAAAGTGGGTCACCTTGCATTTCTATAGCATTTCCATGGCCTGGAGACAGCACGGCAAAAGGGAACCTACTTTAAAGTTAGCGATTGGGGTTTTCGTGAGCTGCTGGAGCGATGTGGGGAAGAGGACGTTTACATAATAAAGTCTGTTTTGCAGATAGTCTTGACTATTTTGAGGCTACCCAGCCTAAATACCTATAGAAAGTGGAACAGGAGAGTTCCTTGGACATCTAGGGCTTCTCCCCACATACAGGAGGGGAAGAATAGGATGCCTCAAAGAAGCCATGCCCATTCCTAACTAGTGCCCTCCAGCTAGAAGAAGGGGCAAGGCACGATATGTGCCAGGACTTGGATTTGGGGTCTTCTGAGCTCCTCTCCTAAGGGTCACGAGGACACTGAACACAGAGGCCTTTGCACATGAAGTCATCGTGACGGTTTCATGAAGGTCCTTCTCCTCTAGCGAGCAGCTCGGCACCCAACATCACTGAGCACGTGGTCCCATTCCACGAAGAATCCTTGCCCCCTTCGGTGCCCTTCAGTGACGATGGAAACACGCAGATCCCGCGTGCCTGCCGTGACCTGCCCACGGTGAAGCCGCAGGCCTTGTCAGCTGCAGAGATGGTCCTGCTTGGGCCTGGAGAGGGTCGGTGTGGCCTGGTGGCCTCATCTCAGGCCCAGGTGCAAGATCAGGAGCCCGCTCTGTCTGGTGGAGAACTCCACATGTGAGCGGTTCTCTACGGTACATCGCGCGCGGCACAGGCACAATGATGGGGATGGGGCGTGTTGCTCAGGAAGCAGTCACAAATGTGCTGTGCTCGTCTGAATGTCCTTGAACTTGTTCTCTTCCCATCTCTTCATCCCTCACGAGCTCACCCCCGACCCATGGCTCCAGCACCATGAAGTCAGGGATGAGCCCAATCTTCAGTTCTGATCTCTCCTTCTCTGACGATCCTATATCCCGCTGCCTGGTGGGAATCTCCCGAGGATGCTCTGAGGACACCTCCCCGTCCAAAGCCTGCCCTCGCACCTGGGCTTCACCTCTCGGCTAAGACCCTCGGACACCCAGACACCAAGTCGGAACCCTGGGCTCTGCTCCAGATGTCCCCTCTTCCCTCCTTCATCCACGTGATCACACAATTAACAGTTAGAGCCAACGGTCCTACAGCACTCACTACAGGCCAGGCGCCGTCCTAAACTTTACGTCTATTAGCTTGTATAACCCCCACAACAACCCTGCAAGAGGGGCACTGTTATCATTCCCATTTTGCAGATGAGGAAGCTGAGACACAGAGACTTCCCCAGAGGCACACATGGAAGTAGCAGAACCAGAATTCCAACCCCGGTGGTCTGTTTCTAGGTGTTATCACTTCTCTGCTGCCTCACAAGCCTACTTGCGTCTGGTTCCTGGGGATCTCTGTGAAATCTCCATGCTCTCCTCTCCTGCACCTCTCACCAGCACCGTGACAACAGCCTCCCCACCGCCCCAGTATCCCGGATTCAACACGTCTCTGCAGCCACAATGGTGTCAGCATTACTGAAATGCAAGTGGGATTGTCCTGCTACCCACCCGCGTAACGTCCTCCGGAGCTCCCAGCTACTACAGGAGACATCCAACTTGTTCACGAGGCCTGGAAGCTTCCATGTCTGGCCTCTACTGAGCTCCTGGCCTTCATGCCACACGTCCCAGCATGTCCTTATGCTCTAGCCTGGCTGAGCTCCCGGGCATGGTAGCCCTGCTCACAGTTTCTGTCCCAGGACGCCCAGCTGTGCTTCTCCCATCTGCCCAGTGAATATCTGCATTTCCTTCCAGCCTCAACTTAGAAGCCACCTCCTCCCGAGAGCCTCACCTGTCCTTCCCAGGTGGAGTCACCAGTTTCCAGCCTGGCAGACACATTCTTCCTCTCCTACACCATAACTGAGTATTTGTTCACCTTTCTCCCTGGAAACTGTGACCTCCATCCCATCCCCCAGGGAGTTCCAATCATGGCTCATTCATCTTTGTACCTCAATGGCTGACACTCATGAGGCCCTCAGTGAAGGTGTGTTGACTGACTAAACGATCCAAGCAAGTGCCTGACCTGGAAAACACCCCCACACACACAGAAGGGAGGAGTGAGCAGCCGCATCTGGCTGGATCCCACCTCTTCTCATCGCCTACCCTTCCCTGCCACGGCCCTCCCAGGTCCCACTCACCGGCTGCCCGGGGCAGCGGTGGGCACGATGTCGTGGCTGGCACGCAGGGGCCGGGTCCTGGCCTTCATGCGGGCACGCTGCAGCAGGTGCTGGGCTTCCTCATGCCTGGGGCTCAGCACGGGCTCCGGCTTCGGACCAGAGGTCCTGCAGGGCGGCACACAGGCCAGGGCGGGAGGGGGAGGGATTAGAAGAAAATAACACGGATTAGGAGGGCTTTAACAGCGCCAAGCACCGGCTCTGCCAGAAAAAGCCCCGCACGGCCGCCTGCCTCCTCCAGCTCCCACACAGAAGGTGCCCGGCCTGGCGCCGCGGTCTGGGAAATGGTCCTGAGAGGCTCTGGACAGGGGCTGGGGGCTGGCCCGGCCTTGGACATCTGCCCAGGGACCAGAGGCAGAGACCCCAGAAGGATCTAGAAAAGGGTAGGGGAGTCTCCAGATTATTCCATTGTTCCTTCCCTGGGCAGACAGCGGGAGTTATCTGGGAGGAGGAGGGTGGAAGGGGCCCGGGGTTGTCGGGCTGGGCCCGTGCCCAGACAGATGGTCTTTGCACGCGTCACCTCGCTCCTTCTGTCTCTGCGCCCGCACGCGGCACCACCCTGCGCTCCCGCCGCAACGCGAGGAACCGGGGCCCTGTCCCTCGCAGATCTGGCCCTTTGGGGGAACGGCCTTTCTATAAACCCTGCTGTTTTCTTAGTCCCAATCCAAACCTGTCAGGCATCAGCTCAGAGCTCACGGGCTCAGGGCTGAGAGAAATTAAGCTGGACCCAAACCAAGCCAGCACATGGCTCGATTTTCATAATAATAAAGGTCCTCTACCAGCCCTCACCACCCACCAGATGTGCTGCCTCCCTGGCCAGTCCAGAGCTGCAGAAAATGACAGCAGCCCTTTTTCAAAGCTGTCTTCCAGACGGTGACACACAGCCCGCACGGGGTTACAGCACCGACAGCAGCCCCCAGCCTCCTGCGGACGAGATGGGGTTCTCCACGGAGTCCGCTTTCCCCAGCCAGGCTGGCCAGGGCAGGTGTTCTCTGCGTTTGACAGATGAGCGTGTCCAGAGCAGAGAGGAGTGCTGGCGCGTCGCTCAAGGTCGAGCATCAATCGCGAGCAGAGCAGACAGCCGGCCCCGCTGCCTGCGGCATCGTTCCCATACCCCCCGTCCTGTCCCCGCCTTGGGACCCAGGGCAGGCCGAGGACGTTTGTGGCTGGGGCAGACACATGCAGCATCCCCGGTGACTGCCCCCGTCCTCCCTGTCATACATGCGGGGCTGTCCTCTGCAGGGAGCGTCCGCGGAGAGAACTCGGGCAGGCAGAGGCTCAGCGGGGCTGGATCTCAGACCCGCGGCCCACCCGACCCACCCCCTATGCCCCATGGCAAAAGGGGCCTCGTCCTGGCAGGGACGAGGATGACAGAGATGTGAGTGGACCCTGGCACAACTCTTCTCCAGGGAGAAGGCCTCCTCGGGGCATCCTTGGACGAGCTCCGGGCAGGCTATGATTTTTTTCCCCCTTCTCTTTTTCTTCTCATCATTTGCATCTAACCCTGCTTCGGCGCCACGGCGGGCAGGGAGACTGCTAGAAGAAAGACACCATCTGTGCCTGTGAACCCTGGCAGGGCTGAGGCACAGCTCTGGAACAAGGAGGGCTTCACTGGAGCGACGAGAAAGTGGCTCTCCAGGCCCACTGCCCCGCGAAGCCTCCTTTGGCAGGAGAGGCCCCCTCTGCCCAGCTTCCCGAGCAGGCAGCTCCTCCAAGGCGGCTGAGAGCAGCTGTGCTCCCTGGGGCTCCTGCTCCGACAGCAGAGATAATGAGGTTACCGGCCCGGAGAGAGGCGCCCCTGCAGCCGCGGGCCTCTGGCTCCCAGCCCACACGCTCGGAGCCTTCCGGTGACAGCTGTGGTTCCACGGCTGTCGGAGGGCATTTGTCACAAGGCCTGGTGGGCGGGCAGGAGGGCCCCCAGGCAGCTGGCCAGATGCTGCCGGGATCAGCCTTGCCCCCAGGTTTTGAAGCTATTTTCCAGCTTTGCTGCTTCCTTTCTGCTCCCTCCACTTGGTGCTGTTACTATTTTTTTCATCAGCTGCCTTGCTTCGGTTCCTGGCAGGCAAAGCTGGTTTCTCCACTGATTAGAAAAGCAGGGCTTTTTAGGCACCCGGAGGAATCCAGGCAGTGACACACTGAGCAGGGAGGAGTGGCAGTCACCTTCACAGATTGCAGCCAAGGTCAGCTAAGCAGGCGACTCCTCCTCACTGTGCGCCCTGGGGAAGGGAGGCCCTAAACAGCGCTGTGGGGGGAAGGTGGCCTTTCTCCAGGAGGTGTGGTGGGGGGGGAAGCAGGCACGTGCAGTGCTGCGGGTGCTGAGCCTGTCCCAGGCTAACTGCCCACCTCCCGCCACCACATGGCCCTGGTCCACCCAAGGGGCACCCAACCCCTCCAGGGTGACATGTTCAGACTCTCCCATCTGAGGGAAATTTCCCAGTCTAATCTGACCCTGGCCTCTGTCAACAGTAGGCAGCCCTGGAACCAACCCCTTCCCAGCAAGGACTGTAAGCCACAATCCCACCTCCCACAGCTGCTCTGGAAATTTCCTGGAAGGGTTGGGGCAGTCAGTGCATAGCCAGGCAAAGACAATTCCCACTCAAGGATACACAGGTTTTTTTTTTTTTTGCCACTGTCTTAAAAGCCTGCACTCCTGAGGCTCATTAGCTCAGTGGGCAGGGCACAGGAATAAAGTGGCTGGGTGCTTTTCCTCCTCGGGCCTCAGTTTCCCCATCTGCAAACTGTGGGAGTTGGAGAGGGGAGAGGAGTCACATTGCTACCCTGTGCGTCCGGATCTGTGGCCACTTAGTCTGCCACAGGAGGGGGCGGGTACAGGATTTTGAAGTCCTCCCCTTGTGGAGTTCACATCACAGATGTCTGGCCCTCAAGGAGAAGCAGCCCCTACACAGAGCTAACTGTTGGGGAAAACGAGAGCTCCCTTCCCTCTGCCCCGCCAACGGCCAGCATCCTAAACTGCTTCACGAGGACAAAGGGCAGCGTATATGGTCCCCAGGTTCCTGGTGGAGGGACAGGCTTAGCTATGACTTCACTCCCCCCACTGCCAAGCAGGTCAGGAGAACCACCGTTTCCCTCCTAGCCAGGGAGGTCAAGGGGACAGAGTGGCCTTTTTCTCCAGCCATCATAATCCTGGATTAAAATAATAAGCTCCAGCGAGTCCGCTGTTAACCCTTTCATCTCAGGTACACAAATCAGGGAAACGACCGAGGCTATAAAGAGAGCTGACATTTCCCAGACTCCAGGATGCAGCCAGTAGGGGGAAAATATACAGTGCACAGAACATACACGAACCTTTTTGCTTGGCATTTGTTCCATTTTGTATATTCAAAAGCTTTCTGATGACCAAAGATGAGCTCTCTTACTGTCATCGTGTGTACAATGTCCTGAGTGAGGGGAGGAGGGAAAGGTCTGCCTAGAACTGATTCTGGCCCGTGGGCCCATGAGGGCAGGGGCTTTGTCTTGGACTCACTGTCACGCTTGGTGGCACAGGCCCTTCTTCCCAGGTCTGCAGGACACTGGCAGGACGAAGCCTGGAGTGGTGGTTAAGAGTGTGGTTCGGGGTTCTAATCCCTGGACTGCCACTTCCCCGCTGTGTTACCCTGGCAGGTTACTTAGGGGTTCAGCCTCAGTTTCCTTATGTGCTACATAAGGGCTCAGTTAAGATAAGTGAGACTGATTCTCTCAAAAGAGCTTAGCACAGAGCTGGGCACTTGGTAAGATTCCATAAATGTTAGCATTCATTATCATCATTACTTTTATTATTAGCACTATTGTTTTGTTAAATTACTTTTATCTCCTTACTAAACAAAAAAATGTGATCTCTGAACATGTACTAAAATCACCTGCCAAAGAGATCCCCCTGCTGTCTGCCAGGGGAAGGCACGTTCTCAAGTAACAAACTCCCCTGTAGCTAAAGAGGAGTCGGTGGTTTGGGCCCGGACTTTCAAAAGCCTTTGCCAGGGCTCTGTAGAAAAGGGGGTTTCCATAGAACAGGGAACGGGAGGAGGCTGTTTGGCAGCAGAGAGAAGCTGATTCCTAGACAATAAACAGGCCCTTCTGTCCACAAGGATGGAAGAGTCCTTAAGAACCGCTGC